TACTAGCCACTGTGCCACCAGGGCTCTTATAGATATGAGATATGGGACATGATACATCAGATGGGGCCTCACATGGCAAATACTATATTGGATAGCAAAAATCAGCCACACTAGCCAATTCTATGGAAGAGATGATATTTTATCTACTCTTATCTATCTTTATCCTTTATTAAATGAGGTTGCTTGATTTAACCAGACTAGAAGTAGCAATAAGAAGCAAAGGAAAGGCAAAAACAAAACAAAACAGCTAAACATTGTGCTTTTAAAACTAGGTGACATTTGGATTATTGCAAGCAATTCATGCTTAGACCTCTAAGAGAAAGGTCCCTTCCAACATCATCATCATCATCATCATCATCATCATCATCATCATCATCATCATCATCGTCATCATCATCATCGTCATTATTGTTGTTGTTGTTGTTGTTGTTATTATTATTATCATTATTATTATTACTACTACTACTACTACTATTATTATTATTATTATTATTATTATTATTATTATTATTATTATTATTATTATTATAGTATGGAGACATCTCCTGCTACATTAGACAATCAAACTTCTTTGGAAAGCTAGACTGCAAATAGACAGAGAGGCATTCAAGAATACAAGGATTTCTGATAAAGAAGTTTATTGTAGAAAAATTAATGAAGCCTTTACAAAACAATTTCAGGGACTGCGGGTTAACAAAGGTAAGTCCGGTTGATAAAGAAACCCAATTTCACATTCTTGTGCCTCTTTCTGCCTTATGAATGTAAAGAGCTAGAAGCCATTTCTTCAGGGGCAGCACATAAAGCAGACATTCCTTCATGATATTTGTCTCCCTTCCCCAAGGTGCCATTTGTGACCAGATGAGAATTTGTTGCAAGATATCAAAAAGTCTTGACTTTTGTGGCAGTTCCTCAAATTGAACTCCATAATTAAAGCACTTTTGGTGTTCAGCGTATATTAAAATATAAGCTCTGTTGATTTCAATTACATATGGTCCTATTTTATTTAGGGAGAACAGTGGGACTTGTACATATATAGATTTTTAGCTCCATTATGTGAGACAGCTAATTCTGACTACATAGCTTAGTTACCAAATAAATCTTGAAAATAAAATGCACATAGCTATGGGAAAGCATGTATATATATCACCAGCCTGAAGATGACGAATGTGACTTCATCGAAACGTCGCCAAGGCATTTCCAATTCTACGCGGGAGAAAACCCGAATAACCAAAGACCTACACACACACACACATATATATATGTTACTAAGTACTCTAAAACTAAAACGGTGATTCCTGGGTAAATTCATGTTAGCAACTACAAAGATTGTAAGACCACCAGGAAGTTTTAAAAACTATAAAAAGTTTTAATAAAATTTTAAAATACCAAGCTTTCGCTGGCCACTGCCAGCATCATCAGGGTAACCTCCAGTTGATGGGACGGCTATTTATGGGAGTGGTGCCCTTTGCACCCGGCTCCTGGACCTCGTCACCAGACCCAGCCAACCCACCTGCGTTTGAGTTCTATATATATATAAAACTATAACTATATAGACTATATATATAACTATAACTATATAGACTATATATATAACTATAACTATATATATAGAACGTAAGTATAACTTAGAAAGTAAAAATAAATACCCTTATCAAGCAAGAAGTCAGCATAATGTTCAAATTTTCAAAATTTAGCACCACCTACTGAGAAAAATGTGAATATGTCCCTGAACCTCAAGGCATTTTTGTTATTGACACTGATGTGACAACCAAATATGTCACCATACAAATATTCTAGTAATTTTCACTATTCATATAAGGTAAATGTGGATATTCCAGCCACCTACCCCACCAGTAAGTAAAACAAATAGGATATCAAAGGCTTCATTGTAGTTAAAATACAGGGTATACAGGCCCATTTTTAAATTACTTTAATCTTTCTACACAACAGAATTTGGAAACTGATCTGTTTAGTTCAGTGATTTCAGTTGCTGTAAGTGTTATAGCCTTAAATAAGATATATGATGCATCAGCAGGAAGAAATCTGAATGTGAGGGTGTAGTCCAATTGAAATGAAGTCCAGAATACAGAATATAGATTAATAAATTCAGTTGCATTAAAACTCACTGGGTGAAACCATAAGATGAAAAGAAAGTGAGCCACATGCAAAGCAGGCCATCTATGGGACACCCAGAAGCAAAGATGGAGGCACATGCCCTTTTTCAGAACCCTTTGCCAGTGACTATTGTAATGGCAGGTGGAAACAACCTTGAGATACAGGGGGAAGAGCCACAGCTAGAGCACTAGAAGACCTCCAAAATCAGTTCCAACTCTGGTGTTCTATATTCTGTGATAAGTGGCAGCTTAGCCTGCAGAAGGAATGTGGACATGGCAAACATTTCAGAAGGGACCCTCCATATAATCTTGGACTGTAAAAGTGGGGGAGGGAGAGATGCATTTTTAGACTTGCGAGTTTCAGTCAGAGTAACCTTACAATAAAGTTAGAGCTAGTACTTCTGGGTGTGTATCTTGTTTGAACACCCCTGCAAGGCTGACAACTATCACCCCTGTGGGGCATTCACTGCTTCCAGGGTACAAGAACAGATACTTTGTCCTTATCTCAATCTCAGTGCACCCCACACCTTTTCTGTATGCTTGAGTTTCAATTCAGAACTGTTGTTTCCCAATCTAATCTGCCAAACTCTTCTCCAGTCCTTTGTTCTATTTCAATAGCCGTGCCAGCTCCCACTGGCTGCCATGCCTGGCATGTCTGTTGTCCTCCAGTGGTTGACCACGGTTCTGGGTAGCCATTTCACCCTGAATTATCAGACTTACGTTCTCTGATGCTTAGCAGGAGATCCAATGTTAACCTGTTTAGTCAATGGACTATCCTTAACCCTAAAAACTCAACTCCATTCAACCCTTTTATCTTATCAGTGGGCATCTTTTCAATTTCTACCCAGGTTGGGTAAAAAAAAACCTTTGCTTTTCCAGTCCCTTTCTTGCAAAACGTCCTTTTCTTATTTATTTATTTTTAAAAAACATCTTTAGGTAGCAAAATAAGTACATTGCCACTTTGTTTCTACAAAGGAAGAGAGGGCCATAAAAACAATTGTTCTTTTTGTATTGATTATTGTAGGATTGGAACTTTGAGGGCATCATCATTGGGGGAGGGAGGAAAAGAAGGGACATAGGAGGTAATTGGGAAGGGGCTACAAGCATCCACATGTGAAACATCTGGAAAAGTAAAGGAAAAAATTGGGGACTAGTGAGAAGGAATGTGGAAAGGTTAAAAGTGGAAAATGTGTGTATAATAATGTATGAAGGAAGAAAAATGCAAATAAGAAATAATGGGGCAATAAGGACAAATACTCTAAAGAAGAATAAGGGGGGAAATGTAAATAATAGAAGATTAATGTTACAAAATTGCTGTTAAAATATATACTGTGTATATATGTGTGTTATGTTTTGTTTTGTTTTGTTGGTTTAAATAATAAATTTTTTTTAAAAAAAAGACTTTTGATGGCTGAAGTCCAGATTTAGCACCCACCCAGTTCTGTTGTCAACCCATTGCAATTTGAAATTTTCAGTCAGCTTTAGTAATAGCAGTAACAACATGGGAGACAAGCAGCTTTAGCTGCAGTGCAGACTTGCCCTGTGTTCACCTACTCACCATAAATTATCCAGCTAAATTTGAGCAGAGTGAATTGTGCAAAGGTGTCCACCTTTTTATGGTTGAGTATGTTGTGCAAGCCCAAACTCTGGGGAAAGTTGAATAACCCAGGGTTAAGTCCATGAGTTAGCAAGTTGAATAGTTCATACAGCAACAGCCTGCCGGTTCCCAGGCTGTTTTTTGGGGATGTTCAA